ACAAAGTACAGGAAAACGTATCTCAAATTCCTACTCTACTTATTTAAGCTTCCACATGAAGTCGCAATATGAGGCTTTTGAGGCCCTGGCCACGGAGACGAGAGAGCTCCTGCGGTTGATCGCCTTCAGCTTTCAAAAACAAAAACTGTGGACTGGAGGCTCAAAAATCCGGGATCCTTCGAATGGGCTATAAACAGTGACCACGAGGGATAGTGGTAGTCATATTGGTGTACCGACATATTCAATTACATGCATGCAAGAACTACCAGAGCTACGTCGGGTTCAGGGTTTAGGGTTAAGGGTGGTGGGTTTCTCAAGATGAGGGGGCGCGTTTGTCGGGGATATGTGTGCCACATTGGTTGGTTGAAGTACTATACGTGAATGCTACAAGGATTGTATGAAAATTCACACACACAATATCATGCTGTGGGTGTATGAGGGACTCTGATGCTCAAAAGTAGCCATATGAGGCACAAGCAAGACTTCATATATAGATTTCTTGCAGAACCTGCGAAGCCCTGGGCCCTGTAGCCACTAGATTCACCAGATCATCTCCAAACCAGCTACCATCAAATATTTCTTAGTGAAATCTTAGTGCGAAGTAGCAGGCCGAGAAATTTCTTGCAGCTTTTGTACGGGCTGTCTGCTAAATTGCCCGAAGGAACCAGGGAACTCCATAGGCGGTTCCTCAAGGGGTATCCCTGTAAGGACAGCGGGGCTCAGCTTGCTGCACCCTTCCTTTACCTGCAAGGGAATGCTGACAAGCATTAATGAAAACAGACGCTGCTGGATATTGCCTGAAAGAGCCCCTTGCGAATTAGGCTGCTCCGGTTCATGCTTTCGAGCTTGGAGTTAACGCTCTGCAACGCAAATTGGGCACCTGAATATCCTCGGCACACCTGGCAATCACGAAGGATTGTACAAGTTCCTCTTATCGATGGGATTAGTTTAAGATTAGGATTCTGGATGGCGTTTTGGGCTTGTGGTTTAGAGCATAGGGTTGATTGATGAAGGGCCAATGTTGAAAAGACACAGAATGATGGTAGTTTCAATCAATTTTCGGCCTTTGTTTATGAACATGCGATCCTTTCAGGAAAGGTATTTGGATGGGGTCAAGTTGAACAACCCGCGTCCACCTTGAGCGCATACCAATCATAGTACGCAAAATATCTCACATGAGGATTGCAACGAAGGGTCTTTGGGGAGGAAACTCCAAACTGATGCGCGCTTCAGGCTTCAACGGTCACCCATCAGGATGCTCACAGAAGCGCGCAAAACTCTAGACACTTCCAACACGCAAAAAGCCAAACGTAGTTCTTAACCTAAAACCTACTTGACTCTACAACTGAACCCCGCACAGCACCATCATCCGAACATGATTCTAAACAATCTCGACACCAGACCTTAAACCCTTGGCTGCGCGGCTTAGACCCTAAAATGCACCATTCTCCTGCAGCATTCCGGACAAAAAATCGAAGCCATACAACAGCCTATCAGCTGAGCGTAACTTTTCACCCCCAACACCCCAAAGCCCTAACCCCAAGCCCTGAGCACATACCCTGAGCACTGAACCATGAACCGTTAGCGTTCAAAAACACAGAAATTCGGATCCAGGTGCTGAAGCGCAAAGTGCCAAGCAGCTGCAGCGCCTAATACAGGACGCAAAATTTGGGGTTAAGGCTTGGGGGTCAACCCGGACTCCAAAGTAACAAGCTGGAGATTACAAAGTTGCGCTTCAGGCTTGTGTAGGCGCCATTTGCGAGAAACTCGCACCTCAGCATTTCTCCAACCATAATACGGGCTTCGTAGGCATCAAATCATCAAACTCAGGAACTCTCTTGCCTGTGAGCCCTCCCTGCAGCGCGTGTCTGACAACCAAGGCTGCCATCTATACACACCCCAAAGCTGCGCAGTCCTGGTTATAGAGACCCTAAAATGGGACCCTTGACTTTGATTGACCCCATCCATCTACTCCAATTGTCTTCATAGTTTCGCCTCTAGATACTGTGCTAGTTGTGAATGTTGTTGGTCCTCTGCCCCAAGCTCCGTGAGCACTGACTGAAACCCTAAGCCCGGACTCAGGTAAACCCAAGCCCACAATCCCTAAACCAGGGACCCAAAACATTCAACACAAGGCCGGATCCCCAAAATCCTCAAACCAACCCACCTCGTCCGACAACTTCGCTGCATCCCTTTGAAGTTTGAAGTGAATGTGCTTCTGAATGAAGTCCTGGTTTCGAGTGTAAAGCTTGTTAGGGCCTAGGATTTAAGGCCGTACTAGGCTTGGGCTTTGAGGTAGCCAATGTTAGATATTGGGCTGAGAAACTGGAAGATATGATCCGGGCGCGGCCAGCCGCTAGCACCATAGTCCGCACTGTAGGAACAAAATTTGGAGGCAAAACTTTGAGTTCTTCGTTGTAGTATTTGCGGTTGTAATCATTGATGGGAGGCTTTTTAGGTTAGTTTTCTGTTTCAGGTTTCTCAACCTTCTCCTTAGGCGGTCGCAGTTGTCTTTCACGCTCCCTTCATCTAGCATTGCATATTCTAGCCTTTTCGTTCTTTCTTGCTACAAACTCGGGGTCTTGCTTCATCTTTTAGTAATATAACCGTTGGAATAGCGCAATCTGCACCTTAATCTCTTCTAAAGTGCGTTCCTGGGGGTTAATTGTCATTAATATGTATCAACGGCATTTCTTTAAGTATATATGACAGTAAATACTTTGTTTAAAAAAGTGTTTTAGAAAACTTACTTAAAGATTTAATAACTTAATACTTTAATATCTACATATTATGACACCGAAACATATAAGACAGAATATGAAAGAGTTAATACGGCAAGCAAACGCCAAAAAAGGCAGACGCCAACGATCAGACCAAAAGTCATTGATGCGAATGTCTGCTGCTGGCCGTCCCAGCTGTATATGCGCTGCACTCTTTTGCAGCTATTGCAAGTAGTCCTGGCGTCTGAGAGATGGCAAGTCTTGCCAAGGTACATGTACACTAATGCCGCAGCTCATCTTGAACTGAAGCTTTGGTTGAAAGAGATCGGCTCATATGTCCAGCCATCCCAAACTCCAAAAAGAGAAAACGTTTGGTGCTCTGTGTTCTTACACACCCAACAAAGGACTAACAAGAGAAAGCAGCAGTGAGTAGAGGAACCACCTGCGACCGTGCCGTACGAGCATTTGTCCATGTAGCGCGAGGAACTTTGCCATGCTGTAGCAACATTCTGCCAGGCTTTTTGTATCGTTGTACAGAACGACTTGCTTTCCAGCGCCCTCGTTCCTGAATCTGTTGGGAATCCCTGATGTTGTGATACGCATCATGTGAAGCACCAGAGTGTCTGAGGATGTGTGGGGTCAAATGCAACGCTGAAAGACCTAAGGAAGCAGCTGCCTGAGAAATCTGCTCACAGTACTTTTTGTATGTCAAATGCGGAAACAACTGCGCATGTCCACGGTTTGCACTGAAGACGGACTTGACAACTGCACTGGTGTCTAAACGTTGTTGAGTGTTGAAGAGAACCACATCATCAAACTCACCAGCTTTTGTAGGCTCACCATCTTCGAAAGGAGCAATGATGACACCCCACACTTCAGGTCTACGCACCGCTTGAGGTTGTAAAATGTTTGTCTTCTTGAGGGCAAGTAACTCGCATGGCCTTAGATAAGTGTCTCCCTGAATAAGGATAGCTGCAGCTGTCTCGAATTGCATCTTTCGAGCACATTGCAAAGCAACCAAATCCCACAACTGCAAGTCTACTCCAGCTCGTGATGTTGGAGGGAAACGAGACTTCCAACCTTTCAGAGCTTGTTTTGCAAAGGGCAACTGTTCCTTTTCAGCCATATGCAAATCAGACCGCAGGGCAATCCATCCGAATACGGCATAGCTAGCATCTGTAAAACAACGGCCATCTTCACATAATTCATGAATGAATTGAGTCATGTTCTCATCCAAGCCTTTATGATTCCGTTTCTGGTTTCCGTGCTCACAACACCACTGCTCAAACTCCACGATCGCTTCATTGTATAATGATTGTGTGCGAGGTTTCAGCTGTGATGCTCGAAGTCTTTTGGCAGGGGGGACCGCAGCAGCACCAGTCAGCCGCCGTTTTTCTGCTGGTCTTCTGAAAATCTCTTTTCTGCCTGCGGAGCGCTGCTTCGGCACGGGTATGCTGGCCAAAGGCGATGGATTCAAGAATTGCTGGGCTCCTTCCTTCAAACTGTTTACAGAGCTCGAACTGCTTGCTGCCACCCTTCCGCGCGGCAATTTCGAATTTGAGAGCAAACTCCTGAGGATCTGCTCCAGGCTTTTCTGAAACATCCAGCAACGCCGGCCTCATTACTTGAGCCCAGGCTCTGCAGAGCTGTGGTGGGTACACTCCTGCAAGTTCAGTGGCATTGCACCACTGTACTGAACCCCCTTGCTGATGTTGTTTTCGCCCTCGAAGAACCGTAGTGTGCTGTCTATGTGTGCAAGAACGACTTAGAGCCTCCAGGAGTTCACAATTTGTTAGCAGCATAGTTGGCTTCTTGTACTTGGTCCCACACTGACAGTATGGAAAGAAGACCCTTTTCACCCCCGGCAACAGGAATAATTCCTCGATAGCTGGAAATTGCCAGAGCCTCGAACTCGCAGGATTTTCTATCGACCATTGGATTCCACGGCTGTGGCAAAACCTGGCGAGCTCAGCTGAGAAGAATGCCAACTCACAACCAACTCTTTCTCGTGCCCGGGCTCGAACATGATTCTTGATATTGTGTCTGGCAGTGGAGAATACCGCGCAAGGGGTTCCCATGTGCAACACCGAGACATTCTCTTCAAGGATCAACTGTTTGATTAGATTCTGGGTGCTTCTTCGGATCAGATCATAGGCAGGACCTTTCTTGATGTCAATCGGGGGCAGGGTACCAAGTCCAGCCGCACGACTTGCTTGGGAAAGATGCCCGCTCCCACTGAAAATCTCCCAAAACACCCCTCGCTGAAAAAGACCCGGAGCTTTAGGAGTAGCCCGATGGCTTGTGGAAGATGTAGAAGGCATAGAAGGGGAAGTATGCATTGAACATGTCATGTCGGCCTCGCATTGACCACATCCCCGAACCCCTCTGCATCTCCTCGGTTGAGACGATTGAGCCTGTCCGTGCAAAATATCAAACAAATTCAAAGGCATTTTCTGCTCCTTCTGTACATCATTGTGACAATCAGGACGATCCACTGTTTGCAGTTTCTCTACATCAAGCCCTCTACAAGCAGGTCGCTGAGGCGCAGCAACATCTCCATGAGGTACTACATCACGCGATCTCTCAAACCATCGTGATGGGGAATCAGCTACATTTCGTTTAGTCTCAATATGTCGCAGCCTCCATCGGATGCCCAAGCCGGCCTGTAACGCACCTGCAACTCGACATAGGCGATTGAGTCCTGGACGTGAGCTTCTTCCCTTTTCGAAACAGAGCACCACAGGCAGATTGTCGCTAAGGGTTAACTTCTTTAACCCTGCAAGAGATGCTACCCTGGCAGTTCGTTTCAAACTACTGAGCGCGACTCTGGCCTCTTTCATTCCTATATGCTCTGATGTCCGCTTCCAGCGTTTTGCCCAAAGCAAAGAGAAATTATCTTTATCCACAAGCATGGGATCCAGCGGTGGGACCAATGCCGGACACTCAACATCTTCCCGCATGGTTTTTCTTGCCCAAAACTGGGAAATTATCGAGCTCGTCTTTAACCATGAACCCTCACGAAGAGCATCTTGAAGCCAGCTCGCGTAGTTTGTCTCAAGACCAAGCCCGTCACAGGTTCGAGCTGGATTGGGGCTCCGAAGCGCACTCTCCAAGTGACCAAACTCGTAAATCGCCTTGTTGCCACTGGCCGCGCCATGCGATCGCACGATCTCCTTGACAGAGTCGGGCATTGCCATGTAACGCCATTTTTCTCTGAAACGACAAGCCTCCCTCAACTGCTGAGCACTGGCCTGCGCCGTCATCATAGCATACCCGTGATTGGCAGAGTCTCCCATGTCAACCTGCTTCACAAATGCAGACCCAAGATCGGCCCTACACAGCCATACCAGATTGCACGCCATTGTAATCTCGGATCGTACAGCGGGCCAAAGAGGGATCCTCCTTTCATCGCTGATCCGCACGAACCGGTAGATCTTGTCGAAGACGCTCAGCAGGGCAGGGCAAAGACGCATCACCGAGGTCGCATGTCCAAGCCACACCTCCACAACGCGGGTCCTGACCTTGGAGCGCCTTGTCAAAGCCACTCCGGCCAAATGGACTCGCCATAGCCGGTGAGGTTTATTCTTCAGGATCTTACTCTCAAAGTCCACGATGCACCCAACGGTCTCCAGTACCCGAACCGGCTCGTCATAGGTCCAAACGATTGGAATGCGCTTTTCCGCAAAAGCCCGATCGACTTCTGCCACACGCCGGGCAACATCTTCCTTTGTCCGTCCTACAATGGCAACATTGTCCACATAGGTAGACGTGAGAGTTGACACATCATCTAGTTGAGGCACGGGCAGCTTCTCTCGCATCTCTCGAGAAGCCTGCAGACTGCACTCCCTAACGATTGAGGCCACCGACTCATTGGCGAAGAAGAGTGCCCAGGTCCATCCCATAGGCATCACCGCGATGACGGGGTAAAGGATGTCAGACTCCGTCACCGGCACATGCCTAGTCAGATCTTCATCGTAGACAGTCTGTAGCCCGAAGCCGTTGTCATTCCAATACCCCACACGGCTGGGAGAATCAATCCCGAACCACGAGGCCATCTCTTTGATCTCGAAACGGTAGAAACAATCCGAGACATCCATCTCCGATCCCCACCCAAGATTGGCCCTGTGATCCCTTTGGTTGCCCATGAGCTCCTCAGAGAGGTCTAGATCAATGTAGTTTGCCGCGCTGCCCAGTCGAGTCACAGGAGGTCGCCGATGATGGCAATTGGTGATACGGGCGTCGATGATCATCCTGATAGCTCCGGGATCCTTCTTCTTCACGAAGAACACCCCAACTTTACTGCGAATTCGTTTACGGAAAGAAAGAATCCCAGCCCTATATAATCTTTTGAAAAAGTCCAACCGAGCCGCCGCATCATTACGAAGCTTTGGATCCCAGTGAGGCTGTTTAGGACAAAGGCCAGGGTTCTCTCTCTTGAAGGACTCAAACTCCTCGGGTGACCTCTCAATGTGAGCGTGCCGCCTATGGAAAAGTGGTAGCACATGAGGTGGAAGCAGCTCATGGAGAGGTCGGGGTTGAATTCGGGATCCAAGTATTTTTAACTTCTCCGGATCGTAGCTTGCAAGATGGCCAGGCTCCCCATCATAGAGGTTGATAGAACTCATCAGATCACGTAGGGCACTATCTGCACTCATACCCTCCGGTATCGGCCCCGCCTCTTCAAAAGCACTGCGCACATGTTCAAGAAGCTTCTCCTGCACAGCGGTAGGCGGACGATGAGCGTGCTGCGGAAGAGGTGTTTCGAATTTGTAGCCCGCGAGGCGGTTCAGCGCATTCACTGTCCGTGCCTCGCGTGAGGGCAAACCCCGAAGAGCACCGGGGCCTATCGGAAAAGGGAAGCCATGATGTCTGTTCTCAAAGCTTTCCCCTTTGCCAGTCTCAAAATTGCAACCATTCCCCCAAGCGCCAGACCGACTAAGATTCGCTTGGGGCAGCCGTTGAGCACTCGTGTAGAAGGGCCGGCTCCTGAGGAGTCGCCGGCCGATGATTTTCCTTGTTTTCCACGCCCTCTGCCACGCCCACGCCCTTTGTCATCGTGACCTCCCTTGTCTCCAGAACCGCGACCTCGTCTGCCGCCAAACTCTTCACGATAAAGGCGTGCTTGCTTCTGCACATTGGCTCTCTCCTTGAGCTTGCTAGAGATCCAGTTGGTGAAGTCCATGGTGACCGCCTGTCCCGATGCGCCAACCGGCTGTTCCATCACCAGATCCAAGCCTGAGTAGTCCGGACAGGATGGATTTCTAGCCACTGCCATCTCTATCTGGATCAAACGGCGCACAGCCAACTCAGCACAAAGGAGATTCGAAAGATCAACCTGATCAATCGAGATGCCTACACGCAGAATGTCACAGAGGACTCTGTGCTCATGTACAGCTGAACCAAAAAAGGAGACTCCAGAGGATTGAGACCAGTTTAGATGGTAAGTGGCAAGGTCGCTGGCCCCCTCACGCACTGCTTTGAGGAACTCTAGAACCGCACGAGGGCCTGCTAAGGGCCAATCATCCATCTTCGCATTCATCATCTTTGTCACCCCTGCTCTGAACTCCAAATAACGCTTGCCCTGTCCATCCCTAAAATCTCCCAGAAGACGTGAGTCTCCCTTCGTGGCCTCCCTACTCAGGATCCAAGCCGCTTTATTCGCTACAGGAACCCGGCAGCAGAAAACCTCCTCGCCTTCAATCTCGACCAAAGCAGAATCACGAAGGAGCACACCATCTTGGATCATCTCATCTGGCACCGCCGTGCCGAAGTCTGACCGAGCTGTGTCAGCGACAATCCATTCAAAGGCCTCAACGTCGGCAACCCCGGCATCATTGAACAGATTGGCCATGACCTTAGCTCAACGATGGTATCCCTCTAACTCTGCCCGAGATATTGGATCGAAGGCATATACATAGGGAGCTTGGGGAGCTGGAAAATCGGCTCTCCGCTCAAGAGGTATGTGCTGAACCGCATTGAGATCAATCCTCTCGATATCACCATCTGGCGTAACAGCTATCCAAACGCCAGGACCAGTCTTTTCAAGCAACACCCGATGATGCCAAAAGAACCCAGCATCGTCATTTGGATAATGCCTTAGAATTTGCGGTTCACGAAGGTCCAGAGTCCTCGGATTATCAGCCATGACGTTGTTTTGTTTGGTTTCTGAGAGACCGCAAAGTTGAAGGAGTCAAAGGCCCCAGCCGAAGTCCTTGAGGTTTTGGAGATGCGAGCGGAGAATCCTGTACAGACTCACCTGATGATGAATCCGCACCTTCTTCACAGAAAGCCTGATTCTGAGATCCACCCACCGACTCTTTGCGCCAGAAAACCAGATAAAGACTACCACCAGAACCAACTCAGCAGCCCCCGAAGCCTTCAAGAGAAATCTCTGGATTTCACTCTCGCGATAGCACGCCTCCAACGCAGAGTTTGTCGAGCTTAGCAAGCGCTGCCCGCGCGCCAGTTCCTGCCGAAAGGCCTGCACGTCTGAATCCAATTGCTCAATTGGGCTGGGTGCCTGAAAGAGAGCAGATCTCAGCAAATGACTTCCCAGCAGTGCAAGGGCTATGGCGCGCGGGCCGAAGACTATCATCAACCCTCTTAATCCGAAAAGCTTTACATGCCAAGACATGGGGACTTCTCACCGCAGGACTCGCACAAAACACGCAAGCTTTACATTGAAATCATTAACTTATACAAGCGACGTAAAATATCCCAATTTACAACCGCCGAGAAGTTCGTAAATCGTCTAACAACTGACGATACAAAAACAAGATACAAAGCTATCAACGATTTAAATAAGAAGTATGATGATTTGAATGCCCGCGCGCCGCTAAATAAGCGAATGGCACAAGCAAGAAAGAAGGCCTTTAGATTAACATGTTACCCATACAGGTTTCCGATGGAAGCGGAGAAAATGAGTACCGCCTTTGAAGACGATTACGGTTATGAATATGTATCAATGCACTCGCAACCCATACAAGCAGATGTTAATATCAATAAGGAGCAAGTACCCAGCAAAGTTATAGGGAACTTTTTATGTAAAGAACGGGAGGAAGCGAACAAAAACGAGAACAAGAGGAAGAGATACACAAAAACAAANNAAAAAAAAAAAAAAAAAAGACAGAGAGGAGCATAAACATACACCACTGCAAGTTATGGAAAACGATTTATGACATCTTAGAAACAGATAGGGATTTTGCATCCCTGCCTCCCGAATATAAGCAAGCCTGTTAGAAACTAAGCATGGAGAATACCTGAAAAAACAGGAGGAGCAAAAACTAGCATGTTAGAAGAAGAACTGACCAATACACGAAAAGTAAGCACATACAGCAGATACATAGAACTGGAGTTGAAGGATCAAGTCGCCACATTTAAAGAAGGACTGGACGAAAAACTCAAGCACGAAAACGAATGCTGGATTGATGCGCTAGTCAGTTACAATGGCGACACCCTTATTTCAGAAAACAGAGAGGAGAGATTAAGATTAACAAGGGAGAAAGTTACAGGTATCATCGGTAAGACAGAGGAGGAATTCCATTCAAACGGTGCTTTTATTAATGATATGGCTAAAACCTTTGATGAGTTTAACCTCTCAGTTAGGATATATGATAATTTCAACCACTTGATTTATAAACGGGATGCCACCAGTAGGCATTACAAATATTTTTTATGCAATGGTTAAAAACAATCACATCTACGTATTAAATAATAACCTATGTTCGTTGTCAAAGTTTCATAATGCAGGAGGGGAGGACTGGACTGTAAAAGCATCTACCGACTTCTACATTGGCAAAGATAAAGAAGCACCAGTATGTAAGGCAATCGACAGCATTGATGACCCACTACGATTAACAGACAACGAGGATTATAAAATAATCCACTCACGATACGATTTAGCAAGTTTGTTTAATGATTTCGTTAATGCCGGGTATGAGCCTTTTATCCGCTGGACGGCGGGATATATAAGCAGTCTTTTCGTCAGAGTTAATAAGATCAACTACCACATAATCTCACAGAACCTCGTACCTGATAGTTTAGATGGGGGTATATGATATATGTGTTGATAATGAGGTAGTATTCAATAAGTTGTCAGAAGCGATGTATAAATTCAGGAACGATGTGTTTAGACCCTGCCATAAGTCATATTATAACGAGCATGATATGCCACTGTTCGTGAACTGTAGAACCATAGTGCCGAGCGGTAAATTATATGATATGGGTAAGTTGTATAAGCAGAGAGGCATTACTATAAGTGATATGGTAGAGTTAGATGTAAGGAAAGCCTTCACCAAAGCCTTTACAGACATTTAGAGAATACCTGTAGTTAGCCAGTTTGATGAATGGAAGCCTTGTAAGGGAAAAGTTATTAAAGACCTAACCTTGTATGTGGGTAAGGTAGATGAGGACTTACAGTTTGGTTTATGGTCGGATTCTTAATCACCTGATGGAGACTGATACCATAACCATCAAATATAATAAGCGACCATCCTTTACACATACAACCGATTAGAAGAAGACCATTGATGATTTGTGGAGCACCGACCTTGAAACGCAGTTAAAGAAAACGACAGCAAATGTTGTATTTGGATTGATGGAGAAGGGAAAGCAAACATCCCAAAAATCGCAGGTGTTTAGTTATCAGAACGAGTACGGGGGTAAGATTAGCATAATTCACGAGGTGGTTTATGATGAAGATGATGAAGAATATTATGTACCCAGGTATTATATACTAACTGTTTCAGACACCGCGGTTTTAAACAATGGGTTTAAGTTTATAAAGGAGTTGCTATTACAAAACCATAACTTTAAAATGCTTATGGACTACAGGAAACTGAGGGCTAATAAGGTTGAAGTCTTTAGTGTTAAAACAGACGCATTTGCTATAAGGGCTCAGGATCTAGAGAAAGCAACAACGATACTCAACTTGAGGGATGACATAGGAGACTGGAGGCATTCTAAAAGCGAATTTCTTACCCCGAGGGAAGTATCTTTTTTGAAAAAGAACGACCGTATTAAAATACCTGAAAGGGTTAATGAAACGCTGGAGGTTGTAGATGAATATGATACACCTGCTATAGCGGAGCAGATTAAAGAAAAGAGAGTGGCAATGATTAGAGGGTTATATGCAGGAGCAGGTAAATCTTATATACCTGAGTGGATGGCGCAGAATGGCTACAGAGTTCTGTTTGTAATAGGTACAAGCAACCTAACTCAAGAAGTAAGCGGGGAAGCCATAACTGTAAAATAAGTGTTTTGCCATTAATTTTGGTGAAAAGAAGCTACAACCCTTTGACTATTCAGAGTGTGATGTGATCGTGTTTGATGAGATCTATTTTAACAACCTATAAACTGCATAGGCTCAAGGAGTTTATAAAGAACAACCTTAATAAGATAGTTTCAGGGGCAACGAGATCGGGAGAATGAAGCAACTAGGCAACGATTACATAGTAGGCGACAGAGTTATATGTAAAAAAGTATTTAAAACTTAAGAAGGACAAGTGGAATGCGGACATTACATACAAGATTATGAGGATTGATGAGGAGAGGGTGGTGTTAAAGAACATTAAAACGGAGGTGGAGCAAACAATGCTAAAAAAGTTTTTGAAATCCCATTTTGTAAATGCTTACTCTTATACAGCCCATTCTAAACAAGGGTGCTCGGTAAATGATGAAATAATTATATACGATTGGCAACGACCCTACTGTAGCAGGAAGTGGATCTGGGTTGCTATAACGAGGTGTGGCGACTTAAGTAAAGTAAGGCTTTATAAGTACGATGATAATACGATTACTGAGGAGGAATTAAACCAGTACTTGAACAACAAAGCTAAAAACTATATGGAGCAGGACAGAGAAGCAAAAAGAGAAATGAAAGCAAGCGAATATGTGAATGTAGGAGGATGCAGGGGCACTGCGGACACTGTGGAGAAGCCTATGTAAATGAAACGGTAGATGGAGTTATAAGAAGCAACTTAACAACAAACCGTCTAGATCATAATTACGTGCACCATAAGGAAAATTGTGCGGATGATGACACATCTATGCAATTGTAGTTTCCATTAATTATAAGATAATCTTGAATATTATGAGTAGTAATAACAAAGATGAGATTATAAGTAGTATATATTATGACAGAAGTGGCTATGGCTCGGTTTATACAACTTATCAAGATGCAAAAAAAGAAGGATCAAAAATAACAGTCAATGTTGAAAAATGGTTTGAGAAGAATGTAGAAAAGAAAAAACACTTGTCAGGCTATATTCCATTCGTTGCACCTTATGCTAAATATGAATATGAGATTGACTTGTTCTTTGTTTTAAAAAAGACCTACTTAATCAGAAATTTAGGGTAGGGATGATAATGATAGATGTGTTTAGTAAGTTTATGGCAGTAATGGCGATTAAGAGTAAAGAGCCCGCGGATGTGCGGGCGGGGATTATGGAGGGGATACAGAAGATGGGGGGAAAGCCGCGCCTCAGCGGTTTTATTCAGACGAGGAGGGAAGTTTATACAGTGGAGTTGTTAAAGAATACTTAGACAAGGAGAAAATAGAAATACATTCAACTAGGGGTCATCCTAATTTCGCTGAGAGGGGTATTAGGACATTTGAAGATACATTATTTAAAAGAGTGGAGGCAGATGAAAAACGAGGGAAAGAAAACACACAATGGACTGATTACATTTTTGAGACAGTATTGACAGATTACAATAAGGATAAGCGTTCAGCAGTGGGGATGACACCCAAAGAAGCAACAATGAAGAAGAATGAGTTTAAAGCAAGATCTAGCATTGACATGCAATCTGTATCCAAAAGGAAATATCCCGAATTATCCGTTGGAAGCAAGGTTA